AAACCCACAAACCAGCATGAACATACCATACAGACCGGCCCCAAGGGCGATGCCGATTATATAGTGGGGAGTAGCTGCGCCCAGGAGCATCATAAGCGACTCAGACACGACCATAGAGAGGAAGAGATTGAGAAAGAACCATCCGAACGCGTTGAGACCAGCGATACCAACGACCATCGCAGAAGACACGAGGGCGATCAGTGCTATACCCGGCAAAGCTGCCAGGAAGTTGGCCAGCACGAACATGAGCACATTGAGATTAGAATTAGCTCTCTCTCGTGCAAAGACAGCTCTGATCTCATCGAAGAATGGTAAGACAGCGACTGCCATGAATACCAAGAATGCTTGAACGTAGAAGAGCATCGGGATGTAGTCAAACTGAGTCAGAGAATCGTTCGAACGGATATACATAGTGCCAATCATGAAAGAAAGCATCACATACATGACGAAACGAACCCAGTAAATACCGGGATTCCGCAGGTTGTTCTGAAAGTTCCTTTTCAGCAGAGTCCAGAACTGAACCACCTTACTCGGACGAACGTACTGCCATATCTCTTTCTCGCTCAGTGGGGAGCCGACTCCTTCATCGGCGCCAAACCCTGGGGTAGTAACAGTCTCGGCGAGCAGGAACTGCTGCATCTGGCAGGTCGGCGCCCTAGTCTCTTTCCTATAGCGTTCAATGAGGCCCTGAACGTCGCCGTGACCAGGGAAGTCGGTGTTGGTAAGATTGAGAACATGCTCAGCGGGGTTAGTGTAGGGCGGCACAGGGTAGCCGGCCTCAGCGAAGTACTCTGGGACTCTATCGGGCGTGTCAAAGAAGACCACATTCCCTTGGGCCAGGAAGCAGACCTTCGATAGTGACGACCAGATGTCACTACTGGGTTGATGAATAGTGACGACAACAGTGCACTGGTCCTCAGTGGCAAGCTTCTTGAGGTAGTCCATGATATTAAAGGCAGCGGCAGAGTCCAGACCGGAGGTTGGCTCGTCGAGGAGGAGAATCGACGGTTGTTTGAGTAGCTCAATAGCCACACTGACGCGCCTTTTCTGACCACCCGAGACGCCTTTGCGGAAGACATCGCCGATGAGAACGTTCTCGCAGGACCTGAGGCCCATCATGTCGATAGCGTGTTGAACCCTACGTTCTCTCTCAGCGGCTTTGACGGTTTTCGGCAGAGCCAGACGCGCACTTTGACGCAGTGTTTCCAACACAGTAAAGGAGCCAATGAGGCTGTCCTCTTGACTCACATAAGCAGACACCGCTCTGAAGGACACAGTCGACCTAGGTTGCTTGTTGACCATAACAGAACCATCTATCTTGCCGGAGGAGACTCGATCGGCCAGGATGTCCAATAGGGTAGTCTTGCCGGACCCAGAAGGGCCCATGATAGCGACCAGTTGACCAGGACATGCACTGCCGTGTACAGAATCCAAGATCCTCTTGGTGCCGAGCTTCTTGCCGAGCAGACTGCGACGATTGACGTCATAGGTAATGTCTCGCCACTCCAAGGCGTTGTTGGAGAATGCCTCGGCAGGGGAGATGTAATCAGAGGTGATCATAGGGGGACTAACAGACACTAAAAGAAATGATGACGATCAAGATCAGTATCCGGGCATGGACTGTATCTTCCAAAAGTAACGTCAAGATATGCCTTCACTCAAACCTGCCGAAGAACTCACACGCATGAACAACACAAAAAGATCTTATACAAGATCGCTTGAGAACTTACACTACCTTACTGTTCCTTAGCGCTCACCAACACGCACTGCCGAGACTCTTGTGAAGGGCCTATACGGAGACTTTAAACTTACCATCCTGCAGGACTGGCTCATCGCTCGTAAAGAAGCATCTAAAAAGGGGATAATAGTGACAGTTTATAAATCTGCGCGTTTAGCATGCTTGACCTCGGCGTGGCAATTACGGCCGAATTCCGAATCTCGTTCGGTGTTGACGATTTGATGACTAGGGCTCGGCTGGAGATCGCACCATGGAGGATTCTGGCGAGCGACAGGCTTCCAAATGTTGGGAGTTTTTACCAGTATCGGAATTCTTGACACTACCAAAATCGTTCGGTTCAAAAGTGGAGACACGCTTGCAAATGTGTGGGAAATTATGCACATGGTCAACTACATGTGTTAGTGGAGATATGAAAATTGTAGGAGGAAATTCGGGGAATTCTCGTCGGTTTCGCGACACTCCTACGACAATTCTTTTATACGCTGCTAAAATAAGTGAGCAAGCCCCTGAGATCAGCGGACATATATTCCAACACTGAGCAAGCCCGAGCGGAGTCGATGACGTGGTGCAAATGGTGATGATTGGCTATACCGACATTTGGGATCTCAAAATTTGGTACATACTGGAGCTCTCTCAGTGGCTACGAAATTTAACATGTCTAATACCGCTCCTTCCTCACTTCCTGATCAAGATACGGTCGGTCGAAGAATTGGGCAGTCTTCGACTCAACTCGTAACACTACGGTCTCGAGCTCTTTGGCATCTCCTCTTTTTCTAGGTTGCCATGCCTCGCGAATTCGCCGAGCCAGACTCCAACAACTCGTCGCTGGTGACTGCACAAGGCGCTAAGCTGGCTGGTTACAG